ATTAAAATATTAAATTTTTTCAATTTTCTTCGCCATTTTTTGGAAAACCATGGCATATTTCTTTGATCCTAAATTATATTTTCCTTCGTTTTCTTGCCGAAATATTTTCTCTTTTTAAGAAAATTACCAGCCCTGTTTATCTTATTTTTGTACTTTGAAAAGGCAAAAATAAGCTCCGAAGAGAAATAATATTGACAAAAATTATACAAAAACAAAGAGCTGGTTGTTTTTCAAAATCCCACCCGAACCAAAGTCAATGTAACCTTCTCTCTTATTCTAATTGCATCGTTTGCGAGTTGCAAAGCCCCTTCCTCTGCGATCCCATCTCATTAGAGCTCGTACAATATAAATCTGCCGGGCTCGCTTTGCTCAAGTGGAGGCGTAAGGATGTTCCAAACTGAAATTCGCAGCTCGGATTTTCGCAAAGAGCTGATGTAGATTGCAAACAAAATTCTCCGCGCGCACACACAAAGGAGAGCAGCGTGTGTTGCCGAGGAAATGGGTGTTGTCATGCAGAAAGCACGAGAGTAATGATTCAATTTGGTGCAAATAAAGCGCGCTCGCTCACGTCTCTGTATCGGCGGCGTACCAAATGCAATTTTCGCTGCACGCATACATACTCGATATTGCGCGTTCCTTTGTCGGCGGCGCTCACAGGCTTGCCTAGGCTTCGCTCTCTCCGGCCGTCGTAAATATAAATATAGCTCCGAGTATTTTTGCGCGGCGCTTTCAATATTCACCGCACGTAGCGTCGGCAAATGCAATTCAATCTTGCGCCACAACCAAATTTACAATGAGCGAAATTCCCTCCTCTTTTGATGCTCTCTTTCGTCAGGAGGTTTCTTTCTCCGCGCCGAATATTCTCTTCAGGGAGAGGATTACACAAGTACCTATCAATGCGGCCCATCATTTTTCATACGAAACTCATCTCCGAGTGAAAAAACATCTTCCCCACCTGCCAACAGTTTGCGAATCGATTTTGTTTCAACATCAAAATAATATTTTAGTCCGTAAATAACAGAGATGAAAAGTAATTGACCTACATTCTAAACGTTCAAAATTAATTCAATTTTGTGCATTTGTCTATATAATTTTTACTTTTCTGGGCTTTTAAAAGAAATTCAGAGCTGAAAAGTTGATCTTAATATCCAATTAATGCATTATATTTTTTTTAATGGTGACTAGTTGTGCATTATACAGTGGTAGAGAAACGAATTATGCAAAGTGAATCAGGAGGGCCTGCTGCTGCGTACACGGGAGGGGATTAATAAATCAATTTGCACATAATTGAGAAGCTCTCAAGGCTGCCTAATGAGATTGTGCTGGCGGGAGAGGAGCCATTAGAGGCCGGAAGTGTGGCTGCAGGTACAAGCTGAATTGACAACATTTCCTAATTACTTGGCCGAGATTCGCCCCCGACGACGACGAAGAGAGAAAAGCCCAGAACCACCTGGGGATTCTGGCTTTTCTTCTGCCAACGAATGAATCCGGAGGACTTTGCAATGGAGAGAGAGTTTGTTTGTTTGTTGTTATGAAAACAAGCGAGATTTGCCAAGGGATTGCTCTGCCCGTGCCAGGTAATCTTGGCGAGTGAAATTTGCAAATTTCCACAGAAGCATTTATATGTATTAAAAAGTGTATATCTTTTGAATTGTTTTGCGTAGCCGGAAAAATGTAAGTCTTAAAAATAAAATTAAATACAAAATATATCTTTGACTTCAGTTCCAAATTTTTGTTTCATGAATTCCAGGTAAAGTCGATTTATAAGCAAAAAATTCTGAAGTCTTAATGGTAATTTTTTTACACAATTTAAAAATTATCAATTGATTATGTCACATATTTTCAAAAATTTTTTTTATTAAAAGTCCATTATATAACTATAATTTATTATGCTTTTCATGTTCCAAATGTTATTTTTGGAATAAATAAATTACAAATATTTAAAATATAAACACAAAGCAGTTTAAAATTGTTAAAAAATTAAAAATAAATAATTTTAGTCCCACTTATTTGGAATCAGAATGAAAATTCGCATTGTTGGAATTAACATTTGAAAGAAAATTCAAATTTTCCGATATTCCTAATAAATTAATCATTGAAATTTGAGCCCCCAAGTCAAGGCTCTAATTGACGAGATTTCCAGCGCCGTCGTTAAATCCGAACAGAAATCGGTGTCAATAACTTGAGCCTCGGCAAGCGCGTAAATTTTGACGCAACGCGGCCTAACGAAGTATTAATTAGCCGCAGCAGCTTCTTGACGCTCGTGTGCACCCGCTAATTAAATCGCGCCGCACTAATGCTGCAGAATTATGTCAGGCATATAACACACGTTAGAGTGATCATTCTCGGCGCTCTGGCTTACATTTTGCGGAGAAACAGACTCGCGGCGTAATTAGCAGGCATCTAATTATTAAACTGAATCTAAACTGCAAATCAACACTCAAGGGCAAAAATTGGATTAATAAATATTAATTTTAAATAAAAATATTTTACACATTAACTTGAAATTAAAATTAAAAATAAATAACCAGATTCATTATATAGAAGTAAAAACGAAATAAATCTATTAAAAGTAATACAATTTATAATTAATAAACTTGAAACTTGATGTCTTACATTTTCAAATATAAATTTATTTTGTTTAATTCCTAATAATAATAAGAAATTTATTTATAAATAAAATAGTAAATATATTTATTATTTAAATTTCAAATTGCAAGACTGGTTATTAAGAATATGTAAAAATTCTTGTAAAAGAAATACACATTTGAGAATAAATTTTTCCCTTCTGGAGAAATGAGATGCAAAATTATAATTAAAAAGAAAATTTCAGTTAACAATCGAGCAGACTAGCTATTCTCCGCGCTTAGAGTATAAATTATTCCCGTGGAGCCAAAGCAGCTCCAAAGGCAATGAAAATTACGCCGAGTGCGCCTCATTACCATTAAATAGCTCGTCGCTCATCACCAGAGCACCAACGATTAGATTTTCCAACAGTTTTCCGCCGACGCGCTCCATCTGTGCTCGGAAAAGGACCAACCTGTGGGGTTGAGAGCGGACGCAAGCGTCGCTCGGCGGGAAAGTCGGGAAGTTGCAGGGAAAGAAGTTACGTGGGCTGGAAATCGGAGGAGTGAGAAATGAGCTCTTGAGACTGGCGGGCCGGATCCGGTGGCTGCGACCATAAATCACCGCTGATAATTATTTCCTCGGGTCTTCCCCGATCGCGCGGGACGCCTTTGATCGCGGGGGTGTAAATTGCGTTTGCATGATCGCGTCTCGAATGATCCGTTTTTATTGAATTATGGCGGTTTTTCTTGAGAAGATGAAAAATGATTAGTCGGAAAAGCAAACCTTCCATCTAATAATGTTGACATAAAGCAACTGCATAAGGCAATTCAATTTTTGCAAAATAATTACTCAATAAATTAATTTGTATTTTAAATTTCAATAAAAAATTGTTGTATAATACCCATTATAAGTTAAATACAATTTTAAATTGAATTATTGTTGTAAAATAAAAATAATTAAAAATATTCCAATAACGTTTATTTAAATACTTTTTCCTTTGCTAGAATATCCATTTTTATTTTGTTGTATTTATTTTATTTTGAGGCAATTTTGCGTATGTTGAAGGGTAGGCAACCGTTGGAGCAGCTTTGACGAGCGGGTTGCCTACATCGAAAACGCACGTCCGCCGCCGCCTATGATTCGATCCTCTTCCTCGTTGTAGCAGCACTTCCTCCGCTATTGATTTCAAATTAAATTAAAGTGCACGGGTCGCTTTTGAAGACAAACACGTTTTGCACAGTAAATTAAACTTTATTAATCCTTTCCATCATCATTTGATAATTAATATTATTGTTATTGGCGCATAAATCCGCCGCACAAGACAATTTTTGTGTGTGAGTGTGTTCTTTTTTTTTGTTTGCGTCAAATGCATACAACTCAAAGATCGGGGGAGAGATATGCACTAAATTGCAGCAGGATATGTGCCAGGCTGATATATTTATATTTATAAAGGGTACAACAAGAGAGGTAAAGTGGTCAGAAAAACAACACAGTTGTCCAAGAGATATGCGGAGTAAGACTTCATGCATATAACAGGTGGAAGCAGTGGATAGTTTTTTTTTTATCGACACAAGAAATCTTTCTTTTGAGTGGTCGTTTTTTTCCATTCTTCAGTTCAAAACGAGGAGAGAAATTGATTTTTTTCCGAAAAGGATGGCATTGGAACGCGGTTTAGGAAGCAGACAGAGAGTATTTAATTGCATTAAGGTCAAGTTTAGAGATAGAGAGATTCGACTTGGGTTTTATTGATCATTCTGTGTGCGCCAGCGGCACCAACAGGTGGCAGTTGCATCGTCCCCCCGTGAAATGATTCAATTACAGACGAAACTCTGTTAATTTGATGCAGCTTTTGTTATTGTTTCGGGTCTGCCTGCAATAGTATGTAATTGACATATTACTTGAAAAAGGCCAGCCTATGATTTTTAATAATTTATCCGCGTTTGAGACAGAAGGAGAGACTAAAGGGTGTTGAGAGATGTTCCGGCCTTCTCATAATTTAACTTCGAGCACCACTTTCAAAAATCGACAAACCGCATTAGTTTTTTTATACACATTCGAACCGGGTGAGGGGCGTAATTACATAATAAATTAACGTGAAATAGTTTGAACTAATGTGTGACATAGAATAATTATGCGCGTATACAATGTAAATCCTACTCGAGAAATCATTTAACATGAGAATAAATGCAACAGAAATGGCACAGAGAGGTATTCACGAAAGTAGAGAACATTCAAAAATCAGGCGTCGTGGTCAACTTCTGAAAAAACGAACAAGACAGGCTCTTTGTGTAATAAAATGTAAGTAATTATACAATAGTACAGTACAAACAATACAGTTAGTGAGTGTGTGTGTTTTTGTTTTGTTTTTACAATATGTTTATCTTATCACCCGTTGTAAATCTGCATCTGATAATATTCCTCTGTCAGCGATGGTTTTCATTGGTGGCAATACATGCGAGTACACATACCTTAAACGCTAATGCTTATATTGATATTTAATTAAACGCTAGTTATGATACATTTTACAATTTTAGTATTGTCATAGATTCTCGACACGTTCTCCGATCTGCGGACGGGAGTCCCGTGCGTCCCGTGCGCAGACCGGCACTTTTTCCAAAGGACAATAATAATTGCGTGTGTGTATATTTCGTAATAGCAAGTTCCAAAAAGGTCGGTGATAGGGCAAGGAAAAAATTGATCGATTTATACATGTATAATATGTGTGTTGTATATCGGTAATAGTACAATTATTGTCACCTTGCAATTGTGGCCAATTCGCGCAGCTCCGTCGTCTCTTGTTTTTGTTTTTGTCAAACTTTTTTTAAAAATACAAATTTGCATCATACCATTCTTCTTCTCATATTTTATTGTCTAGTAAAAATACCTTCTTTTGTCATATTACTTTTGGCGTTTGGGTGGATTTTCTTTCGTTTTGGAAGCCTCGTGAGTTCGCGCAAGCAGCGCGGCGGGTTTGCGTGTTGGTGCGCGGCCGACGCGAGGGCCCGAGTCGAAACGGCTCAAGCGAGTCGACCCCTCGCGGCGGGAGGGGAGGGGGGGGGGAATGCCAACGAAACAACCGGGTTCAGCCTCAAACTGCGAAAGCTCAACGGAAAAGGAAGAGGGGGCGTGCCGGTGCCAGGGTGCGACCCTAGCGGCTCACCTGAATAGGGCGGCACCCCCCGCACACCGGCACCCCCCGCTCGCGTTATTCAAAAAATCGCGCTGCCGCAAACCGCACGCGTTCCGCCGCCGAATTTTGGCGCGAAATAACAAAAAAAACGCGCGGGAAACTCGTGTCTGGTCTCGGCGACGACACACGCTGCTTGCTGCTGGAGTAATCAATCAGCGTATGCAAAGTGGGGTCAGGTCACCTCTTGGAGAACGAGTCTCTTCAAGTCTAAAACAGCACAATTCGGATCGGGCTTGTTGATTTGCCACAAACGAGACAAAAATTAACGTGAAGATGTCACAAAATTTAAACTTAAATGGGTCAACTAAACTGCTGTGCTATCGCAGAAGGAAAATTTGATCTTGATAAACTGTCTTTGGATCCAGAAGTTTCCCTCGGATGATATAAATATACCTCATTGAACATTTGAAGTGAATCATGATGGTCTAGAACTTTTTTTAGCAACCGATTTCAAGTTAAACCAATTTAAATTTAATGCAACTAGAATTAAAAAGTGATACTGGTAGATTCTTGTTATTCCTGATTGTGAAGAACAAGACCAATTTCATGATCAACGCCAAAAATCGCGATTGAAAAATTCTCACCCTACAGCGATCTAACCGGGTATTGCGTTTTCCCGCCAAAAGCATTTGAACCTTGGTGGGGAATCAGAAATCTGAAGAAAAATATTTATTATTACAGACTAGTAGTTTGTGGTTTTAACTTTTAACGTGATTTGGTGATTTTGCAATCAAGACTTCCCTTGAGTTTCAAATTATGGCGGGAAAATTTGAATATAAAGCAATAAACCCTTATTTTGAAGCATTAGGGGTGCGAATTTATCAATAGCAATTTCAAAACTGGTCATGAATTGATGTCTTTCTTAACATTCAGGAATAAAATTTTTGCCATTTCCCCTTCTTTAAATAATAAAAACTTGCTTCAAAGACTCAAAGAGTCTATCTCATTATTTTTTTAACTTTTTTGTCTTTAAAATTTCCGTTTGATGGATAAAATCAACAAACCCGTTCTCGAGTTGAAAGAGACCAGGATGCCCTTTGACATTGTCGTAGCGGCTAAGTTGAGTCGCCCTCTGAGAGGTGCATTTTGTTTCTTTTCATTACAAATTTTTAGATTTTCCGAAAACGGGGGCCAAATCGTGTGAAATTCTCTCCGGAACGCCTAATGAGCGAGTGTGAAGTTTCGGTCGCTTGATGCCGAAGAGGGGGTTGCTGTAGAGGGGGTTGGCGGCGATGCGGGGGTGGTGGTGAGAGCCACCTGGCCGAACCACGCGCCCAACTGGCTGGGCTCTAGCGGAGTTGGATGCCACGTTCCGAGCTCATCGCTCTCTGCAACATTCAATGCAAAAGCAAGTTTATTTTCGGTCGGATTAAAATGCCCCACTCCAAACATGAAATAAAGGAAATTAGCAATAAAATAAAACGCTGGCTAAAAGGTAAGCCTTTTTACGGCCTACGTTGCCGCCTCGAGACGCGTTTATTGTTGCGTGGGTGCGGCGCAGGAGGGCGATTTCACCCGAAATTTACCGCTTCGCAGAATTGGACACGTAATCTTCCGCCCACGCAGCATTCCGGGCCTATCGCAACGTGCAAATTCCTAATCTAATGAAAAGAGCAGAATAATAATGTAATGCACGAGTTGAAACCGCGCCGACTGAGAAGCGAGCGCTGATGCAACAAATGATTGCGGGGGCGGCGCGGCTGAGCTCCTGTTGCCACCCACCCCTAGCTGCGAAGGGGTGAGAGCTGCAACTCGCGGCGACCAACATCTTCCCGGAGAGAGAGTGAAAAGAAAGGCAGCCGGGCCGGCATCGATTCGCGACGGCTAACGGTTTTATTAACTTCGGCAAATTTTATATTTGTCAATTTCATTTGATTCGGAATCAAACTTCATTATGAATGGAAATAGTTTTGATATTTTTTTGTAGATTTAGATAAAAAGATGGAGGAATATTGCCAAGAAATTTAATAACCTCAATAATCTTTTGAATCCTCAAAATATTAGTACTGTGGTTTATTTGTCCAAATAATTTTATTTTGAGAATTAAAATGTTTTAAAGCAATGAAGATTTTTAAAAAATATGATAATTAGTTTCTAAAATAAATTAAAGTGTTGAAAATTTACCAATATTGAGTCTCATGACTCAAAATTTATTTTTAAATATCCCTAAAAATTTAAGACTTAGAAATTATGATAAAATTTTCATGTTGTGCAATGTTTGTTTGATTAATTATACAAAATTTTAATTATAAATTAATCCAAAAATAAAAGTCCGAAAAGAAGATAAATTGGAGGTAAAAGAAGATATTTCTAAAATTGTAATGAATTTTATTATATCGCCTTGTAGTGAGTTTTAATTAAAAATTATGTCCTCGGCGGAAATGGCTTTTATTTCCTTTGCGATCACAAAGTGGTACATTTTATTTATATTTATTTCTCCCCTGGCATTTGCACATCAATCAAGAAGGGAAAAGACTGATTTGTTTTAAGGTCTGACAGGCCTGCCTTGTGTACAGAAATTGCCATCAATCAGTCTGCGGCAAATCCCGAGACGGGCACGCACGAAACGCACCTGTTGGTTTGAACCCGCAGCTGAAGCAACTTTTGCGCACGTTGCCCTCGTAGCAAGTTGATCCAATTCGTTTTTACAAAACAATATATAAACTTTCTCCGCAATTGCTAAATGAAAATTACTGAATTTTGGCACGAATGATTTCCGGTCGGCAAATTTGATTATCATTGTGCGTCAGCCTTTTCTCTTTTTCATTTCAAAAAGAAAACAGCCTGTTTGTATAAATATAGCAAAAAATACGAAAATATTCAACCTCGGAAAACGCGAGAGACGCGACGTTGTTGATTTCTGCTCGCTTCGGCAGAAAACGGCTGCGACGCTTTTCTTTCATTCTAATGAATTTCTTTCTTTTCAAGCAAAAACGTCGCGAAGAGAAGACTGAAAAAATGTGCGCGTTTCAACAAAGGACTTTTTCCTGCAAAACAATCCCACGCCGAGAGCATGACATTTTAAATCTAAACACCTACACACTTTTGTAAAATCTGCATTATTTCGAAGCAATATATATAATATTTTCCAATTTAACAATTTTTTAATATCGAAATTTAATATTGAATCACAGAGTTAATATCAAACTCTATTTATTTTCATACCCTCTTTGATTATTGCAATTTCAAATAACAAAAACATCTTTACAAAAACTGGCAATTGCTTCTCCAGATGCCTCTAAATTTTTGTGCAGACGTGTTTGAACTAAAGTCAATTTGGATGAATAAATAAATTTATTGTGAAACTTTGTTCACAAAATTCTTGCTGTAAAAGTCCCGCCATCAGCTAAAAATTACCTTAAGTAAAATAGCCTTGACGAAGCTTTTGAAAATGAAATTGTTTTTGTAAATTTATATAAAATGGATTTTAAAGAAAGTTTACTAATGTAAAAAGCTTATCTTTCAAACTAAAGTCAATGAAATAAAAATAAAAATTTGGAATAATTTAATAATAATATTATGTGACAAACATGACATTAAGATTAATTAATTAATATTCAATTTGAATGTAATTGATTCAATAATTGACGGATTAACTTCAATTAAAACTGTAATTGCAAAACTTATGTGAAACTTAATTAATTTAGTTGTTAATAAAAATATCAAGAATCTTAATTTTGTGTATTACAATTTGGAAGTGATTGTCACTCACAATCAGACAACGGAATGTATTTTTTATTTCCGATTTGGCACGGGCAAGGCGACGAGATGTAAAAATGTAAATCAGCGAGAGCAACACAGTCGGAAACGATGCACCGTCTGTGCGTTTTGACGCAGAAGAGGGATAGATTATTGATCTCTTTCGCCTTCTCTGGTGTGGCGCTCGGCCTGGCAAGAAAGGAGCGAGAAAAGCAGGTATTCGCAGCACGTTTGTGCAGCAGGTGTGCCTGATCTCGAGAGCCATTAATCGCGATGCTAATTACACGCGGCCCTTCTCAATGCCAGCCAGGCCAGCTCGTTATGAATAAAAGTGGCGGCGCGAGAAGGGCAAGAATCTGCTGAGAGTTTGCACAGGGCATTTAATTAAAGTGTCATTCAAGTCAAAGCGCTTCTCGAGAAAATTCCTTCCGAGGAGAGAGAGAGAGAACAGCCTATAGGCGAAGGAATCGATTACCAAGTGCAATTCTTCTAATATTTTAATAATTTTCATTTAATTTTTGTAAATAAATTCATCAATGTTTTCACGGTAGAAAATTAAATTGGAAAATACTATATTTTCTAAGGAAAATCTACGTTTTAATCTAATTTTAGGCTGAGAAAAAAATACCAAGTCGATTAAAAAGTCTAGTTGAAAATTTTTTAATACAAAACTTGAAAGTAATTTAAAAAGTTTAAATGTGTGCAAAATTTAGTTAAAAAGGAGAAGAAAAATTGAAAATCTGCATAAAGAATACTTATTTTATGAAGAGAAATTCAATAAAAAGTTTCAAAATAACATGTAACAATTATTTTTGTTACAAAGCTCAAAACAAGTCGCTTGTAGTCTGAAATATTTGAATCAAATGAAACAATTTGCAAAGATCCGCCGACGCAATTCATTTTGTAGTGAATTAACAAAAATCAAAACGACTTTTTTAAACGGATTGCGCTAAAATTGAGTTCTTTTTTCCAATAATTTCATTCAATTCGAGTAAAATGTTTCTATTCATTTTATATTAATAATTTGAATTAATTTTTCATTTAAAACATGACAAATTTTAAGCTTCCTCTGTATGAATAATTTTGTTAAATTATCAGCTTTGTCATGAACGCACGAAGCACCAAAAATACCTTTGAACTATGAATTGTGATTCACATGTGGATTTGAAGCGACCTTTACTTTTAAACCCTTTCGGGGCCTTTTGTGGTTTTGGCCTCAATCAACAAGTTTCTGCCTTTGCTGCGGCATTGGGGCTTAAAAGGGTTTTGTAATAAGATTTGAAACGACGCAGTAATGCGGTCTGAGAGGGAATTGCGTCTCTCGCGACGTGACACAACAAATTCGGTCCGAAAAACGAGCAAATAATAGAATTGTTTTGATCTCGGCACGTTTACGCCCAAGTCTGGCTCCGTTTTTTTTATTTTCATTCAGCAAAGTGAGTGAATCGCATTTCATCACGACTTTCATTTGACTGGCTTCGCAAAGCACACAAAGAGCAAATTTACATTTTGCCTTGGATTTGACGCACGCTTTGTTCGACGTAATGAATGAAAAAGGCCGGCTGCGGACGTCCATTCAAAACGTGCCCGCGATAATTAGAGCGTTTTTTTTTCATTCTGGTTATTTCACATGTGTGCGCGTCCGTGTGATTAAATCCTCTAACAAAGGCACCGACGTCAGCAAACATTTGGGGCTCGCCGCACATTCACAATAGATGCGCAAACGAACGAGAAAAATATGCCGTCCACTCGGCTTAATAAAAGTTGTTTGCCCAAAACTTTCCTTTAAATTAATACAAACTCTATTTCTGAGGTAAAATCACAGAGCCGTAATTATAATTCCCAAAATAAAATTGAGAAAACTCCATCACTTTCATCAGTTTGAAAAATTCAAATAAAAAACAAAAGCCAGCTGACTTTTATAATATTAAAAACTAGTAAATTTGTAATAATTTTAGAAAACGCTGATTGTTTAAAATTCCACAAATATGAATAAATTTTTTCCTCCCTTCAAAAGAAGATACCAAAATTCAACTTCGTTATAAAAATTTTGATAGAAAATACAATTATGTTCTGTTTTTTAATCTTTCAGAAGTCTTGGCGAAGATAAATTTAATAAGGCGCATTTCCTTGATAAAAGTTTGCTCTCTCATTTGACTTGCCGAGTTTGGCTGGAAAGCAACTTTGCCCAATATTGCTGCAGCAGCTGACGTGTATTCCACACAATATATAGGAAAGCGGGCCAAACTTTTCTGCGTTATTATTATCGCGCGCAAGCAAGTAAGTAAGTTTATCCCGGGTATTAAAAGTTCGGACGTGATCTGCTTGCTGCTCTGGGGGATTTGCCGCCCGCCCGGCCAGGAAATAAGAGGCTACGAAATTCAATCTGTCTGTATCGATCAAGTAACAGGCTTAATGAAATATTAAACTTTCACCTTTATCGCCGAAACGTGTGTGCTTAAGCGGGCGCAAAGTTATAATTGGAGAGCTTCTTTGTTTGCTTCCACAATGATATCGAATTTTTTTTCATTCTGTTAGGATTATTTGATAATATCAAAATGAAGATTTAAATTATTAAAGCTTGTTTTTCGTTGTGAATTAAAAATTGTGACAAATTGACGCTGAAATTCTAATTAATTATTATCAAACTTAAATTTGAAATAACTGGGAAGGGCCAAAAACGAGCGATGAGTATTTTATAATATTTTGAAATTGATGTAAAATTTTCACATTACAACTTTTTGTCACCCTGACAATGGGTGTCATTTTTAGTTGCAAAAGTAAATTGCATAGGGCTCAATTTATTTTATCAACAGGATAACAAAAAGAAAATAAATGATAAATTTTCACCATGGTAACTTTTTTGCTTCTGAAGTGCATCGTATTTTATTCCCATTTTAATTGAACCTTTTAACGAGAGGTTCAAATTGCTCTTGAATAAATGAGTAAAAAAATCATTCAATTCCAATTGAAATTTTCCTCTAATTTCAGTCTTTATTTGTTTTCAGCCGGTTGAGAGATTTATCTGTACCTGTGTCGTTCAAGTCGAAAATCTGGCAGACGCCGGTGGACGCCGATGGTGCGTGGAAGAAGCACCTGGACAGCGTCGGACGGGCCGAGCTACAAAAACAGTCGGGACTGGCCGCGCACGGCTGCTGCACGATGGACAGGCACGACGGCGGTGCCTCCTCAGCAGACGATCCGTCCTCGTAATCGCTCTGCACAGCCCAATCGGTCAGAAATATCTATTTTTTTTATGTCGATTTAATTGCTTTGCGATCAGCGTCTGCTTTTGAAATGTTCATGAAAAGCTGGCAATTTATGTTGAAGCGTTTAATTTTAATTCGCATGCGATTTAAGCCTTGGTTTTAAGTTGCATTCTTCAATTATAATTTTTGATTCTGTAAAATATAGTAAAACCTAAAATCAAAATAAGTAGGTTTCGTTTGATATTAAAAAGAAACACATTTCGGCTAAAATTATTTCTAGAACGTAATTACGAAACATTTTGAATAACGTCGCGTGCTATAAATTTGCTTTTGGTACTAAAACATCCTGCAAGGAATATTAAAAACCTCATTTGGTTGAAATTTGTGGAAACAAACCTACTCTCGGCGATGCGATAAAAGCTCTGGGGAGATATTAAAGTTGCGGCTTTTACGGTGTGCGTGGGCGTTTGGCGATTCATCTTTGTGAAAACTAATTAATGGAGGAATTCCTGGAAAGGGCCTGCTGCGGCCACTGCTAGATAATCCAACGTGAAATAACTAAACGCTTTCAGTATCCTGGCGAAGCAGTTTATTTAAACGGGCAAAAAAATGGAGCATTTTAAGCAAAAAGTAATGTAATGAGAAAATTTGGTGGCCACATTCATGTAATATTTTTTGATAAAATGTGTAAAAAAAAATACTTTTCAAAAGAAATTTCAACGTGGATTCAGAAACTGAGCGTTAAAATTAACTCTTTAAGCTTAATTTTAAGTACGAGAATTGCTGAACATCACTATTTCAATGAAAAATTGAAGCTGGGTCCCTCATTGCTTGCGAAAAATTAGAAAGAAAAACAAATAAATTGACAACCGATCCCTAAAGGAGATTAAAAACCTAGGGTTTTGTCGTGTCAGGACTAAAAATAAGCAAAAATAAGTGAGAGGAATTAATACTAAAATTGAAAATATAAAAAAAAAAATATTTTAATGAAATAAACAAAATTGCAGAAATTAGTTTATATTTAAAGCAATAGCATCATACTGTGACTGACTCAGATGCTTAATTAAGCAAATTTTTTTATCATAATAAAATCTCTTTTTTATTTTCAATTTTCTATACATTCTTCCCACTTACTTTTAGTTTAAGACACACAAAAAAATCTTTGTTTTTTAAAGAACCAGCCTTTTGGGGATCAGAAAAATTTCCTATTTTGATTTCTTCTTACTTTAGAGTGCTTATTTTGAAACATAAAATTCCCAAAAATCTGGCATTTTTATAAAAATGGTCTGTTAATTGAAATCAAAAAAATAATTAAAAGAAAATCATTGATCCGTCACCTACATTTTATATATAAAAATTAATATTGAAAATTTGAAAGGATGAGTGACTTGTGGAGTGCGCATCACGAATTATCGATTCGCTTTCGGGGGGTGGGCGCGGGTGGGGGGCAAATATGCATCAAGCGTCCGTCCGTCGCTTTAATTGCGAGAGCCCGCGCAAAGTTTGGGCTGTGCCCCGAAGCGAGGGTTCAAAGTTGAGCCATTTGTCTGGCAAAACGGGCGTAATTATAGAGCGAGAGCCACAGCACTTGAAACGCTGCTAATGAAATTCTGTCGCAAAAATAATGGCCGCCTCATTCATGTGACTCGCGCTGAATGGAGGGGACTTTGTCACTCTCGCCGCTTTTGGACGCCGGCCAAGAGCTCCTTTCAGACTCGCGCGCGCAGGAGGACAAACTGCCTCCGAGAGAGAGAGAGAGAGAAGAGAGAGAGAGAGAGAGAGAGAGAGAGAGAGAGAGAGAGAGAGAGAGAGAGAGAGAGAGAGAGAGAGAGAGAGAGAGAAAGAGAGCCTTATCGGCCCAGCAAAGAGACTCTCTCAATCGCTAATCGATTCCCTCTTGAATGAAAATGCGCCAGGCGCGCCTTTTCTAGCTGAAATCGATACTCCACCCACAATGCTTCCTTTTTTTCATTCACTCACTTTCACGCCGTCTATTTTTATATAAAAAACAAAAAGCCATTAGGTGTGCATGCGTCAGCCGAGTTTATTTCTTTCCGTGTTTGTATTTTATTCGGACGATTTGCGATTCAAATTAACGACGGCTCGCTTTCGTTTCATTCTTTAAAGTATGCAAAGCGTTCAGATTCGAAAAGCCATTCCGAATTCAAACGAGCGTTTATTCCCAAAGCAATGAAGGGATTGCGAAATTCAAAGGGTCTTGTGAATTCAATTCGTCTCAACGAATTTGGTCTCATCAGTTTAGCAGCACAAAATATCAATTCTAAAGCGATTTGCGTCTTTTGTGGAGAGATTTTCAAAAGAATATCAGTGAATTGAATAAATTGGATTGAGAAGTATTTCAAGAAATCACACAGAATACTCGAATTTCCAGAGTTTCTTAAAAAATATTATGTATTTTTGATTTGATTTGTTTCAGTCTGAATTAGTTCTGACAATCAATTTTTGCAAATTTTAATATTTATTGAATAACGAATGATTTCAAATTATTTTTATTCATTAGGTTTCCTTATAATTTGCATAAGAAAACAAATTAGTGCAGAAATAATAAATTGATTAAGAAATACACATAAAATACAAATAAAAAAGCAATGGTTTAGCGTCACTTGAGTCGGTTCACAATTTAAAATATAAATTTTCCTTTTTTAATTTTTAAATTTCTCAACTAAAATTATTATTAAACTGTCACATTTTCTTGAAAAAATAACATTGAAAAAATTATGTAAAAAAACAAAAACGCATCATGAAAAATAAAACATCATCTTTTTCTAAATTTTTTCATGCAAACATTAACATTTTGTTTCGTTAATGTTTGAGAATCTCAAGTGAATTAAGAGGAGCTTTTAGGCTTATTAATAAAGCACATTTTCCTCAATTAAATTTCCAATTTGATACCTGGCCTGCCCTCCTTGCAAAGAATGAAGTGGGCAAAATAATAAGCTCTAATTTGCGATGAAAAGTCTCTAGTACCAACTTTTTTTACGCAAATAGCTTTTTTAGTTAACGAGATATTTATAGTCTTCATATATATAATTTAAAAATCAATCTCGTCACAAATATCTTTTTTTTTTGGTAAAATGAAAGTTTTTTCCGAACCTTTTCCGATCGGTTCGCGAATCGAATTCACAAACCGGGGATTTATTTAATAGTTTGATTTAGAAAATTGCGACTGACCGTGTCCGGTGGAAAGGGGTACGTGCTGGCGGCGTCCGCGGAGGCGGCGCTGCCCTGCTTGGTGCGCGGCGCCGCCTTGAAGACGCGCTGCCCTTTGGTGACCAAGGAGCGCTGCTTGGCCGCCTTGGCCGAAAGTCGCACCGGCGGCAAATCCTCCTCGAGTGGCGCGAACACCTCCGGCCCGAACGCCTCCTCCGGCGACGTGAATCCCGACTCGCTCATCTCGTCCAGCCGTCCAGCGGCCGGCGCCAGCACGTCCGGGAACGACAGCACGCCCCGCACGCGCGCCGGATCCTCCTGCTTGCCGTACCGGAACGATCCGTAAGTGCCGTCGTCCTCGCCTGGCGGCGGCAAACTCACCACCTGCAAAACAAACCAAAAATTATTAACATTGAGATATTTATTTAGCAACCCTAGCAAGAATTGCAGAAAAATGTTAAGCCTGATTTTATCAAAAAATTAAATGTTTTTTTCTCAAAATTTTATTATTTTTATATTAAATTAAAAAAAAATAGGAAGAAAAACACCAATAAAATTTTATTAATTTCTTTACAAAATAAAGATTTAGGGAACAAACAATGCATCGAATAAGTTAATAAATGAATTTAAAACAAAAAAAATTGGCAAATTTAATTAAAAATCTTGATCGTTGGTGGCGCTGCAAACACTGATTTTGATAGCGCTTGCAGTGCCACCAGCGATCAAAATTTGAATTATATTGGAGAAAACTGCCTTAAAAAAACTCTTGTATCATCAGTTCATATTTTAATTTGTTGCCAATTTTGTAGAGTTGAAAAATAGGAGAAAACAATGGAAAAAATGTGAAGAGTTGCAAGATTGAAAATTAATTAAATAAAAATATTATGAAAAAAAAGTTACCATTTGTCCGTAGTTCTGCATGGTGGCGTCGTCGGTGAAGCGCTGCTGCAGTTCCCTGGCGCGTTCGGCGCGGACAATGTCCTTGAGCTGCTGGAAGCTTCCGGCCTGCGGCACCAGCGAGCCGTCGGCGCCGGTGTAGCGCAGCGTCTTGCGCGAGCCGCCGGAGCGTCCGGGGGAGCCGAACATGCGCGCGGTGAGCTCGTCGAAGGCGCGCGTGCGCGGCGAGTCGAAGCTTCGCGCCGAGCCCGGCGGCGGCGTGTGCACGATTTTGCCGTAGACGGGGAGGCGCTGGCGTCGAGCGCTGCCGCCGGCGCTGCCGGACGCCGTCTTGGTGCGCGCGCCGACGCTGCGCAGGGTGCCCGGGTACGGTTCCCACACGTTGTACACGAAGGGGTCGCGGTACTGCGGAATCTCGTTGGTCACCTCGGAGGCGCGCGCCTGACGCTTCGAGAAGCGCCACATGGCGCGCAGCTGCTCGCACGACGGCTCGTTGTAACGCTTGCCGCTCTCCGCCGGCACGAACTCGGCGCCGACCTTGCGGTACTCCTTCGCCTCGCAGCCGCAAACCACCAAGAGCGCCAGCAGCGCCAGCAGAATCCACTCCAACGGCGGATGCATTTATTTCGCGCTGATTCTGCTGCTGAAAGCTGCAAACACAATTAAATACCAGTTCAAAACTACACAGCAAAGAGTCCTTATTTGCTTTTAATTGCCAAAGAGACGCACCAAGAGCAGTAATTAAAGTGCAACTTTATTGCTCGCTTCGTCAAATTGCCTTTTTATTGAGCAAAAGTCTATTAGTTTCAAGCTGGGTAATTAAAATTCTGGTGCAAATTAACTCTGGTTCTTGCAACGGAAGTCGCAAAAGTGTCAACCGCTATAAAAAACTAAGAATTCTAAAAAAGTAAATACCATTTTAATACAATTTTGAGGTTTTCCTTTTGCTTATTCAGCAAGAGTTTTAAAAATTATAATTAAAATGGACTAGTTAATAAATTTCTTTTTATAATTAAGACGTACAATCATGAAAACTGAAAAGTTTTAATATAGCGTACCAATTAAATGATAATTTTATGATCTCATGCATGGTTTTATTTTGTTAACTCGATTCGGGAAAATGCACAGTTGTCTTGATTGAATTTTCATTGATTTAAGATGACGAATCCGAGACAAAAAGATCCTTTCAAAGACCTTTTTAGGATATTCAAAGCCATCCTTTGATGTTTTAATGGAAATTATAGAAATAAATGTTCATAACAATTAATGAATCGCTCCAATTTGTAATTTTGTAGTACAAGTTCTCGATCGAGGGTTAATTCATGGTGATTAAAATTTTGCATTTCCTGGGTTTTTGTCCGTTTTTTATTATTTAAGAAAAAACAATATTCTGCTCTACATGTTTCGGCTGCAGCCATAATTCATGAGCTGTGAAAACATTTTGACAAGAATTAGTACAAAAACCAATTTTTTCCCCAAAAAAAGTGTTAATTTTAAAGAAAGATGTTTAAAAAAAAATTAGTTTCTGTACTTATTGTAGTCAAAATGTTTTCACAGCTCATAACTTATGGCTGCAGCCCGCAGCCGAAACATGTAGAACAGGTTATAAAAAAACCGTCTAGTAAAAGCCAAATTTAAATTGTTGGAATGAAAATCATTGAAATAAATTTTGTCGTGTCAAGCGGGTTGCGTTCGTTGAATCTCGCAAGAGACACTTCTTGAAGATGCGGCAATCAAAGCTGTTAAGATTAGGGTCGGCCGACGAAGCTCAAAGGAGTGTCGCTTTTAAGCTGTCTGCAGCAAAAACCGCGCGCGGCGAGCCAGGGATTAGCAGGCGCAGGCAGATAAATAAACAGCCACAGGTGGATGCAAAATAATCGCGCCAACTACGCAGCGTGAATGGAGGGCGAGGGCCACTTAGAAATGTGCTGTGCAGCCCTCGCTGCAATAAAACCAGCAACATGACGAGCAAACCGACCGACCGACCGACCACCCACTGCGAAGAACACTCTCGAGTGCTGAATACACACGCTGCATGTCGGCAATAAAAGCGGAAAAATCGCGCTCGAGAAATATAAGTGGCGCCGCCTGCATTTGCGAAATGGAGCGGGACAACGCACGTCACATGCATTGCTCGGGAAGATGTAGAAAGATGTCATAAGGGGCAAAATTGTTCCCATTCCGTGAGTGACAAACTAGACTCAGGAGTTCTACACAAGCCAGAAGGATACATTTTTTTAGTAATTTTCAACTGAATCAACTTTCATTGTTTTTAATAATTCATTTTCATTTTAAATATAATTATATGGAATTATTATTCCATGGTAATTAATTTTAGTCACAAAGTTAAAACTGAAAAACAAATTATGAGGGATTTTTTTTTAATTGAAAATAATCGAAATTTGCATTTTCAATATTAGTCTATTTTTAAACAATTTAAGAAAATAAAATCATAATTTCACCCAGAGCAAAATGTTATTACAATGTCATTTTGCCCATTTATTCACCTAAAATTTAAATAATTATCAAAAAAATTCTATTGAAGAAGCAATTTTCTGTAAAAAAGAAACTTGCATAATAATAACAAATTTAATTATTTAACAGAGAATTTCAAGCTATATTTTTCATTAAAATGAACAATTTCGTTATGGGTGATTTGAATTAAAAGTTGGCTTTTCCTTGATGGATTTTTATGAATTTTTTACTGTTTAAGAAAAAACAGAATTATAAAAATAATAAATTTTTACTTTTTTACACTTTTTCTTGAAGCAATTATTTAAGAAGGTTTCATTTTTACACGACTCAATTTTTTACAGAAAAATTGTCAAAATGTTTTCTCAGCTCATGAATTATGGCTGCAGCCGAAACATGTAGAGCAGGATATTGTTTTTTCTTAAACACCACAAAAACCCATCGAAGAAAAGCCGAATTTAAATTCAAATCGTGAAATTCTACCACAAAATTTCGCTATTGAAAATAAACATAAACCAAATTGTTAATAATAAAAAGTTTCTCTCTTCAAAATTGCGCCTGTTTGGTTGCGAATATTAGTTTGCAAAGTGTGTGTGTGTGTTTGAACGTGTCGCCGGCGGAGGTTTTTTTTCCGACTAAAGAGACGCCAGGTTTGCTCTCTCTGGCTCCGAGTGCTGTTTACGTATATGCCGAGTGCAACTTCAAACGAGTGCGCAGGAAGGAATCTGGCTGCGGCAAAATTGCCGGCGGCACAAAACGCGCGTTCTGTCGCAACGAGATAACAAACACACACGAGGGCCAGACCAAGTTGAAAAGTTATTAGCTGGTCGGCGGGGTGTGTTGCAGTTTCGTGCGTGGGCGTTTTTACCTCTTCAAAAGGGGAGAAAAGTTTTTTGCGGGTGAGAGAGAGAAAAAGCAAACAATTAGCGGCGAAACAAAAGCTTTTAACTAAGCGTTATTTCCAGCTAATGCGGATTACAACTGAATTGAAAGGTTTCCAGGAATTTCGTTGCATTAAAAGCCTCGCCTGATGAAAAAAGTTTCCTACCAAGAGGCAACTTTTTTTAGTTGCAAAAGTGGAAGGCACAAAAAGAAAGTAAAAAGGATGAAATTCTGCAAAAAAAAAGTGAATAGGGAAAAAGGCTGGTTATTATAAAAGAAATCAGACTTTTTCGTTGAAAATTAAAAAAAAAATTGTAGTCTCAACCGTTTTTTTAAATCAGAATAGAACAATCGTAAAGAGATTCGTAGCAAAATGGAATTTGATAAAATAGTTGGGATTTTAATTTTAATATTATTTTATGCCCCAGCAGGATAATAGAGCTAATCGCAGCAAAATAATTTATAGAAGCTGCTGAAAAAAGTTTTGAACAAAAATCCCAGTTCAATTTGGCATTCAAATCAATGCAATTCAAATATTATATTGTTAATTAAGAACAAATATTTAGTCTGGAAAACAAACTGGTTTTTTACTTTGTATTACCTTTTTCTTGATTTTTTACAAAATGCGATTTACGTCATTCCACAGAGATTCGATTTGATATTAATCTTGTGTGTGTTAGTTCACCTCTTGAAATGGTCACATGATTATTTCATACATAGTTCCCAAATGCACACTTTCATTTTTGTCCTCGTTATTTTTATTGCCGAGGCAAAACACCGAAAATATCAAGTGTATCTGTTTGTAAAAGTTTGTGTGATCTGAGTGGAGCGCGGATCAAAATATTGCTCAAAATCTAGGTTGCCCAAATTCAAAAATAGCAACTGCGCGTCTCGAAACCTGCGCTCGAAAATAGAGCAATTATATGGCGCGACCGACCATCTTGTCTTTCAGCTGGAAGGAAATATTATTTCCGAGAACTACTTTATTATTTAGCAAGGCCCGCTGCCAAAAGTAAGTAGGTGTCTAGTCTTTTTTTTCTTTCTTTCTTATTTACACACACGGAAACGGGGGTGCGCGTTTGACGTCAGCGCGCAGGGGCTGAACTGCGGCGAGACGCGGGTCACGTGCAGACCCCTTGAGCAGCTGACTCGAGACTACTCATTTTATTAATAAATCCTCTCGCGCAACGGAAATAAAACGCCAAAGGGGGAAACGTTTTTTCCCACGTGAGGGTTGAAAAATAAGTAGTTATTTCTGGCTTTGATTCATCAATCATTCGTGGCTCTTTTGATTTCCGATTCATTGTGGTCGAATCGAAATCGCGAGTGTCTTTCTATTTCTGACGTCGCGACGAGAGAAGCAAAAAGTGGCGGCAAATAATGTCGTACTGCGCGCTGACGTCAGTGCCCGGCATAAATAAATTTTACACTGACAAAGAGCGACGTTTCGCTCAAAGAGAGACTCGCGTTTTCCTCTCAAAGCTGGAAACGCCTCTTTCATAAGCGTCCAGCAGCGAAGGTCAAACTAAAAACGGACATGAATGATGTCACGTGGGAGATGCGCCTCGACGCCTTCCAACCGCGCAATTTTAATATTTGGGTTAATGTTCCTTTCACTCGAGAGTATTTTTGTTTGCTTTTGCTGCAAATAAGTAGATTTTTCTATCAAATTTCTTCTTTGAGAAAACATATTACAGCCAAATATATTAAAAATTGCTTCAAAGATTGAATGCTTAGTTCATTCAAAAGCAATACAAAATAAGAGATTGCATTATTCAGTATAATCAAGTTTTCCAAATTTTTTTTTTTTTACACCAAGAAAAATTAAAGCTTCTCAACCTTTCCATAAGATCAATGTAAATTTTGTATGTCGACTGACCTATTGATTTTATTTTTCCATCTAAATTGGAGTGATATCAAAAATGAACGTGATTTGGTCAAATTTTTATCAACTCTGGTCAGGCTAATTTTAAGAGAAAATTTATTCGGCGAGTAGGTACGGCTCCAGTTCGGCGAGTAGGTTTAAGTTGGAAACACTTTTGCTTCCAAATTGAGCCTATGAGTTTTAGTAAGTTGTTTACTAGAGCTGGCTGCCAATTCTCTCCCAATGTGATTTGTAATTTTTTGTTTGACTTGTTGCGAGAGAATAAATGAATTGAGATAATTAAATTTCAAAAATTCATCCCTCGCAAATCTCGCAATTAATTAAATTTTCTTTCTAATCCTCATTCAAACTAACATTTACGAGCCTAAGCTAAATTAGAGAAAGTTGCAATCCTTACAATTCCTTGATTTT